GAAATCATGAAAAAGATCAGTTGGACTACCTCAAGCAAAGAATACAATCCAGAATTCTAGCAATGAGAAAATTAACATCCACCAGAATAGGAGCAGGATACAAAATTCTACGCACTTTCTATACTCAAGCCATCAGATCAATAATAGATTTCTCCGCTCTCTCACTTTTAACCCTGTCATCTGATCTCCTAATAAAACTTGAAAAAATACAAAACGAAGCTATGAGGATAATTCTAGGTGCTCCTCGCTGGACAAGGCTTGAAAACCTTAGAATTGAGACTAATCTTTGTTCCCTCAGACTCCGAACACTTCAAATCACCTCATCCTACATGGCCAAAAGTCTCTCCTCCACCAAGCCTCTCCCCTTCAAACAAAGGATCCAAACTTATTAACCAGACCGATTGACACAATTCTCAGTACAGGGTGGCATTTTCAAGTGGTCTTAGCAATTAAGGCGTCTGGTATAAGCCATCAACTAGTACACAGGACTCCAACACAAAGACATCCACTTTTCAAAGCAGAGCCTCCATGGAATCCATTAATCCTGCGAACAAATATACTGAGACTTCCTAAGAAGAAAGTTAACTGCAGCCAGGAAATATTAAACAAGATTGCAATCCAAGTTAACAGTAAAGCAGCGAAAGACCAATTAGCTATTTTTACAGATGGTTCTGTTAATCAGATATCAGGTCACTCTGGAGCATCAATTCACTGCACTTTCAAACATCTAGTTGGAGACTTTCGGATTATTGTTCAACTCTCCAGACTGAACTATTTGCAATAGACAAAGCTCTCACCTAGCAATCTCCACCAATCACAAAGAGATAAATATTTATACGGACTCTCTCTCAGCAATTCAAGCCCTCTACAAGTCTCCTGATGAAAATATAATGCTCATGACCACTCTCCTCTATAAGATCCAAGTTCTTCATAAGAAAGGATCACAAGTAATTTTAAATTGGATACCTAGTCACATTGGAATAATAGGGAATGAAATTGCAGACAGAGCGGCCTCGGAAGCGACACTATTCCAATATATCAACTTTCACATCCCACCCAGCTCCAGCCAAATTAAGAAGACAATAAGACAAAATTTTCAGCGAGAAATCATCAATCAACATTTAGCATGCGTCAATAAAGGGTCTTATTCTGCATCATGGTATAAGACAGTGACTAACTATCAACGCGTGAACATCACCAACACCATGCCTCGTGAACAAGTTGTCATAATTCACCGCCTTCGTTTAGGATACAAATGTAACTGGGAGATTGCAGAGAGAGTTCTCAGAGAATGCACCTACTGTCAACAAGAGACCACCGAACCTCTATTACACTACCTTCTAAGCTGCAAAATAATTGAACACATTCGACCAGCTGAGTTCCAACTTACACAACTAGATGACATCGCCCTTGCAACCTCATCAGCACAAAGAGTTCGCCAAAAGACTCTTAGAGAATACACCTCAGACTTATTCATCTTTCCACCACCAAGATGAATTTAATAAACCAATCTTTGTTTATTTACATATGACAGTCAAGGTTTGTTTTAACACTTTAAATCAATAAATCAAATTTGTTATTTACAAATGACAATGAAGAAATTTTGTAACACTTTAAATCAAATAATCAAATTTTTGTATATTTACAAATGAAAATCAAGGTTTTTGTAACACTTTAACAGTAATCAAATCTTTGTATATTTACAAATGAAAATCAAGGTTTTTGTAACACTGTAAATCAATAATCAAATCTTTGTATATTTACTAATGAAAATCAAGGTTTTTGTAACTCTGTAAATCAATAATCAATCTTTGTATATTTACTAATGAAATCAAGGTTTTTGTAGCTTTTTAAAAATAAATCACTTATGGGTAGCCTAGGGCTTAACCCGTGTCAGAGTAAATGCTGACAAATCTAAAAAAAAAAAAAAAAAAAAAAAAAAAAAAAAAAAAAAAAAAAAAAAAAAAAAAAAAAAAAAAAAAAAAGTGCGGAACCTCTCTCTTCCAGGTTAGGTTCTTGCCAAGTAAGAAGAAGCAACTGTCTCCGAGGGTAACTACGCCTATCCAGCAGTGCTGGGTGTCTCCGTTTACCAAGGCAATAAAGTTGCAGGTTACGTTTATTACCCTGGCAAATACGCCGAGCAGCCGATGTTGGCGCTGCCGTTTACCTAACCGGAAGACTTTATTATCAACTCTACAGAACTAGCTAGGAATAAAGATAGAAGAGCTTTCCAGATCCAGCTAGAGATAGAAATAGAAGAGCTTTTCAGGACCAGCTAGAGATAGAAATAGAAGAGCCTTCCATAGCTAGCTAGAGTTAGCAGAATCAAACAACGAGATGTTGTTAGGTTATCAGGTTGTATGTCAGGTTGTTATTAGGTTGTCAGTCTAGGTTGTGAGCCGTTTATTAGAGTCCCCTCACTGGTGAAGGTGAACCCCGAGGGCAGTGCCACGAGGGGGTCCTTAGGTAGGACTGCTTTAGCCAGTGAGAAGTGAGAAGGGTTTTATTTCTCTTTACATACAGACTTATCCGGTAGCGGAAACGCTGTTGACCATAACGACGAGTCAGAGACAGCCCGCACTAGGTTAGTAAAACCGGTTATAGGTAGGATTAGGCTCTCTTAGGAAATGAAATCAAAGGAAAAAAAGAAGAAAAAAACACCAACTCTCCTATGGTGAGGCCAGAAGAGAGAAGGATGTCTGAAACATCATCCAATGCAACTATGGAAAAGAAATTGACTAAAAGTGAACCAACTAACTCTGATACCCTACAAGATGTAGAAATAGACATAACAACAGAAATTAAAAATGCTGCCTTGTCAAAGGACAAGCGTAAGAAGTCGATTAGTTCCAACTCTACCTCAGAGGAGGAAGAAATTGCATCAGTATCTAATACAAAAGACTCCGCTCCCTCAAAGAAAGCGAAAGTAAATGCAGAAAACTCGGAAACACAGATGAACGTGTTCTCTGAAGAACTTGAACCATGGACCATCATGATTTGGCACCAAATATGCCACCTGAAACAGACAACTCTCCTGACTTTGAAAACTTTAAACAAATGAAATTTGTTCTTAAACCAAATACAGATTTTCCCACTGCATACAGTGCACTGGTAGCCCTGGAAAAGAAAAAGAAAGACCTTGCAGTTGCCACCAAGGTAACACAAAGGAGTACCTTCCTACTCACACCAAAAACAGTCGACACTGCAAAATTCCTCTTTTCAGTAAAACTCTCTCCACCAACAAGTTAGTTGATTTGGAGAGACTCATTCCGGAAGAGGAAATCAAGAAAACAATTCTGGTAGGATTTCCTATGGAATTTCCGGTGGATATTCTGCTAGATATCCCTAATATCACCTCGGCAAAGAGACTTGTATCACGATTAACAAAATTGGAAACAAGACAGATTTTACTCTCTGTCAAGGGAGAAATTCCAAAAACCTTTGAAATCAGAAATCTAGGTTCATTTAAAACCAGAACCTACATACCTGAGCCTCTCAGATGTTTTAAATGCCAAAGATTCGGACACCACAAAGAACAGTGTAGAGCTCCTGCTAGGTGTGCCATCTGCTCCAAACTACATGATACTAGCCAATGTTTAGAAAAGTATAAAAAAGGAGAAAATGTTCAGGCAAAATGCCCAAACTGCCAGAGCCATCACCATGCCTGGTCCCTCAAATGCCCTGAAAGGCATATTAGACTACAAAAGCCAAATAAACCTGACTTTGTCCCAAGTTCAATTCCACCAAAATCCCAATCAATTTACAATGGGAATCCTGATCAGAACCGGACACCAGTTGCCTCGAAGAATTTTACAAAGAAAATTACAAACTCAAATAGACTATACTCAAAAGTAGTCACAAATTCTTCGACAGAGACAATACACCCCATCCAAGAAAGACCTTCAGATTCACAGAGTACTCCTTCCGTTGCACCTCCCTCAGAAACCTACTCAAAGAATATTGATACTCTTACTTCCTCATTAGAACGAATAATGGAACAAGCCAACCAAATGATTAATCGTTTGGTCCAATTGATCAGCAATTTTAATTCGATAATGACAAATCTACCAAACATTATCAAGACCCAAGTACCCTCCTTAGATTTAAATCCTTCCTCACCAGAAGCATCATTCTCTCTCTCAGAGGTTGATGTAGTAGAATTCACAGAGGAACCTCTGGAACAGCTAAAAAGAAAACATCCTAATCTAGAAATATTTGCACACAGTAGTCAAAATGAAAGCTTAGCAGAAACTTCTCCTCCAAGAATAGAAATTCCTTCTCCTACAAACAACAGAACTAAGAACAATAACAAAAACGACTATGGATACTAAGAACAAACCAATTAAAATATTGCAATGGAACATAGGTGGATTAAGGAATCACCTACCTTTTCTTAAGGACTCCCTTTACAGGGATCAGATTGACATTGCAATTCTACAAGAAACCATTTACGAAGGAATTAATATAAATTCCCAGGATATCAAATCTATACAACTTCCTATTCTAGGAGAGGTCCCAGAGGGCTGATGACACTGGTTAAAACTCCATACCTAGCCATATAACTAAACAACCAGCAACCCTAGGCCACAATATAGAATCTTTAGCTATATCAATTCATTTACAGGAAGAAATCATAGATATTTACAATTGCTACCGTCCCCTAGAAACAATTGTATTCTGGAATTAGATGAACTTTTCAGTATAGCAGAAAATAGTCCCATCCTCCTTGGAGGAGATTTTAATGCTCACCATCCTCTTTTCAATGACCCAACATCCTATCGACCACTTCTGAAAGATCCTCCAGGAATACATATAGAACATCATCTCTCCAATAGCCTCCATATACAAATTCTAAATAAGACTAAGGCTACCCACATAGAGGAGGAGTCCTAGATTTAACCTTCACTAATGATTATCTAGCTTCTAATGCAAACTCCTCCTTTCACGAGCACCTAAACAGCGACCATTCAGCCTTAATCATTACTATAGAAATACCTAGGATGAACTCCCCACCTTACCAACCAAAATGGAATACGCACAAAGCAAACTGGGGTAGATTCCAAAAACTCATTGAAATATGGGCTTCTTCCTATCAAATTGGTGACAAAACTCTTGATAAACTAGAAGAAGACTTCAAAACAGCAATCACAGAAGCTGCCAACTCCGCGATACCATTATGTAAACCCTTTTCCAAAGAGCACCAGGATCACTGGTATTACAGTAACAGAGTCGCTGAACTACATCACAGAGTGAATATAACTAAGAAAAACTTATCAAAGTTCCCCTCCAAGGGTAATCTCGACTTGTATCGAGACACCTTAAGACACGTAAAAAAGAGCTATGGGATATACGAACTGAAAAATGGCTTGCCTGGTGCGAAACTTTAAATTCCCACACAAAGATTAAAGATATTTGGAGCCATCTCCGCAAAGCCACTGGCTGCTATAGAACTAATCGAATCCCGGCACATCCTGATCCTCAAGGTGAAGCCAACAAACTAATAAATCAGTTTGCTACCAGATCGTCTTCCAGTAACTTAGACCAAAATACTGTGGAAGCCTTGGCAATAAACAGACCACTACAACTGCACATAATAGAAAACGCAATCGAAGATTCAGATGATACTGACCATCCTATTACCATGGCAGAAATCAATAAAGCCATTAATATACACAAAATCTCAGCTCCAGGGGATGATAAAATCATATATGGCATGATGAAGCACTTAGGACCCAAAGGAATGGATTTCTTACTTCATCTATACAATAAATCTTATAAAAAGAAAAAAGTACCGTCTGCCTGGAAAAGTGCCATAATAAAACCCATACCAAAAAACAACGATCCCAAGTCTTTCAGACCAATTTCACTACTTAGCTGCTTGGGTAAAACCCTTGAAAGAATCATTCTAAAAAGAATGCTGTATAAACTCCCAGATCTTCACCATAACCTTTTTGCCTTCAAAAAGAATACTGGTACCTCAGACAATATTGCTACTTTAAGATCAATGCTGGATCAAGGCAAGGCCACTTTAGTTTTCCTTGACCTGGAAAAAGCCTTTGAGCTTGCGGACCCTATAATAATTTCAACAATTCTAGCGGAAAAAGGAGTGAAAGGACATCTTCTGGCCTGGATTACAGACTATTTTACACAAAGAAAAGCTACAGTGATATTCCAAGGACACCTATCAAATACCCTTATTTTTGAAAAAGGTACACCTCAGGGAGGCATCCTCAGTCCAACTTTATTTAATCTACTGATTGAAAAACTTGTCAACCTTCCTTTCCGAAACAACACCACCTTACTGAGCTATGCAGATGACCTGCAATTGATAACCACAGGTCCACATCAACTACTACACGCTCAACACGCTTTAGATCTAATAACCCAAGCCTGTACTTCCCTTGGACTAAAAATTAACCCGTCCAAATCAGGATTAAACATCGGTCCATCTAGACCCTTTCATCTACTTACAATCCAAGGCCAAAACATTGACTGGGTAGAGAAAGCTAAATGCCTAGGACACTTTTTCTCAGAAAGAAATCATGAAAAAGATCAGTTGGACTACCTCAAGCAAAGAATACAATCCAGAATTCTAGCAATGAGAAAATTAACATCCACCAGAATAGGAGCAGGATACAAAATTCTACGCACTTTCTATACTCAAGCCATCAGATCAATAATAGATTTCTCCGCTCTCTCACTTTTAACCCTGTCATCTGATCTCCTAATAAAACTTGAAAAAATACAAAACGAAGCTATGAGGATAATTCTAGGTGCTCCTCGCTGGACAAGGCTTGAAAACCTTAGAATTGAGACTAATCTTTGTTCCCTCAGACTCCGAACACTTCAAATCACCTCATCCTACATGGCCAAAAGTCTCTCCTCCACCAAGCCTCTCCCCTTCAAACAAAGGATCCAAACCTTATTAACCAGACCGATTGACACAATTCTCAGTACAGGGTGGCATTTTCAAGTGGTCTTAGCAATTAAGGCGTCTGGTATAAGCCATCAACTAGTACACAGGACTCCAACACAAAGACATCCACTTTTCAAAGCAGAGCCTCCATGGAATCCATTAATCCTGCGAACAAATATACTGAGACTTCCTAAGAAGAAAGTTAACTGCAGCCAGGAAATATTAAACAAGATTGCAATCCAAGTTAACAGTAAAGCAGCGAAAGACCAATTAGCTATTTTTACAGATGGTTCTGTTAATCAGATATCAGGTCACTCTGGAGCATCAATTCACTGCACTTTTCAAACATCTAGTTGGAGACTTTCGGATTATTGTTCAACTCTCCAGACTGAACTATTTGCAATAGACAAAGCTCTCACCCTAGCAATCTCCACCAATCACAAAGAGATAAATATTTATACGGACTCTCTCTCAGCAATTCAAGCCCTCTACAAGTCTCCTGATGAAAATATAATGCTCATGACCACTCTCCTCTATAAGATCCAAGTTCTTCATAAGAAAGGATCACAAGTAATTTTAAATTGGATACCTAGTCACATTGGAATAATAGGGAATGAAATTGCAGACAGAGCGGCCTCGGAAGCGACACTATTCCAATATATCAACTTTCACATCCCACCCAGCTCCAGCCAAATTAAGAAGACAATAAGACAAAATTTTCAGCGAGAAATCATCAATCAACATTTAGCATGCGTCAATAAAGGGTCTTATTCTGCATCATGGTATAAGACAGAGTGAACCACATCACCAACACCATGCCTCGTGAACAAGTTGTCATAATTCACCGCCTTCGTTTAGGATACAAATGTAACTGGGAGATTGCAGAGAGAGTTCTCAGAGAATGCACCTACTGTCAACAAGAGACCACCGAACCTCTATTACACTACCTTCTAAGCTGCAAAATAATTGAACACATTCGACCAGCTGAGTTCCAACTTACACAACTAGATGACATCGCCCTTGCAACCTCATCAGCACAAGAGTTCGCCAAAAGACTCTTAGAGAATACACCTCAAGACTTATTCATCTTTCCACCACCAAGATGAATTTATAAACCAATCTTTGTTTATTTACATATGACAGTCAAGGTTTGTTTTAACACTTTAAATCAATAAATCAAATCTTTGTTTATTTACAAATGACAATGAAGAAATTTTGTAACACTTTAAATCAATAAATCAAATTTTGTATATTTACAAATGAAAATCAAGGTTTTTTGTAACACTTTAAATCAATAAATCAAATCTTTGTATATTTACAAATGAAAATCAAGGTTTTTGTAACACTGTAAATCAATAATCAAATCTTTGTATATTTACTAATGAAAATCAAGGTTTTTGTAACTCTGTAAATCAATAATCAAATCTTTGTATATTTACTAATGAAATCAAGGTTTTTTGTAGCTTTTTAAAAATAAATCACTTATGGGTAGCCTAGGGCTTAACCCGTGTCAGAGTAAATGCCTGACAAATCTAAAAAAAAAAAAAAAAAAAAAAAAAAAAAAAAAAAAAAAAAAAAAAAAAAAAAAAAAAAAAAAAAAAAAAAAAAAAAAAAAAAGGCGGATCATCTTCTCGTTTACTCGCAGCAAGACAAGTCGCTACCATGACTGGACGTGGAAAGGGCGGAAAGGGTCTCGGAAAGGGGGCGCCAAGCGTCATCGCAAGGTGTTGCGTGATAACATCCAGGGTATCACCAAGCCTGCCATCCGTCGTCTTGCCCGTCGTGGAGGTGTCAAGCGTATCTCTGGTCTCATCTACGAAGAAACCGTGGTGTCCTCAAGGTATTCCTCGAGAACGTGATCCGTGACGCCGTCACATACACCGAGCACGCCAAGAGGAAGACCGTCACCGCCATGGACGTCGTCTACGCTCTCAAGCGCCAGGGACGCACCCTGTACGGTTTCGGAGGTTAAACGTTTTCAACAAGATCGAAAACGTCAACCACCAAAGGACAACCATTACCACCAAAAACCTTGGACCTATCTTAGGTCCTAAAATTATTACAGAGATATCATCGTTGACTGACTGTTTGGCTCTTGCTTTTATTTTTTAAGTGTTTGATTTATTTAGTTAGCTTTTGGGCTTGTCGTCGTTAGAGGGAGCATGTTTCTGGGCAAAAATCATTAACTACAAAGAAGAAATGACAGAGTTTACCATACATTCATACATGGATAGAATCAATGCAATGATAGGTTATGGCAACTTGTTTGGGTATCAGAGAGTGAAATAGATCCATGTTGTAAGGGGTGACTATTTTAAAACAAAACACACACACTCTTATGTTGACGGTTATTTATGAGTGGGTGTCTATTATTCAAGTCATATCAATAATTTTTGGCTGACACGACTCGGATATATAGATGTTGGTTGTTTGTATACATTTATTGACCGTTATATAGTTTTTTGTGTGTGTACGAGGGTGGTGGATTTGTGTTAATTACTAATTAACTACAAGGATAGCTTGACAAACAATATTGAAGAATCAATAGTAGCGTCAATGTTGCAGATGAAGTGACCATCATATTGGGGATGCACATGTTTGTTTGCTTTAAATTAATAGTATGTTTGTTAGTTAGTTATACATATATGCATGAACGAAGTCACACAAAAGCAACAACAATTATGAATAACTGAAGTATTGTGAGTAGGTCAGTCATAAACGTTTATGGAATATAATTGAAAAGAATATCAGAGCTTGTCACAAACAAACACATTCAAAACATTCATTCACACTCAATCATATAATCAATCACCATTAACAAATTCAAAGTCAATACACATCTCAACACAAACCAAAGACAAAGACAAAACAAACAACTACTTGTATCAAGCATGAACACAGCAGAGCAGAGCAGACCACACCACACCACAGCATAATCATACACAAGGACCAAACAACAAACACAACAAAAATGTAGTCAGTCTGTAACTTACCAAATAACCAGCTATCAGTCTGTAGGATTGATTACACGACCGGCACAAACACAGACAAAGAAACAAACACAGTTACATGTAGGCACACACACACGAAAACAACAACAAAACATCCAAGGAACAAGAAACATACACCAACACCAATAACAACAAACAGGGGGGGAGGGGAGGGGGACCCAACAACCAAAAACACAACAAACAACAACAAACCAAATTAAAAGACAGAGTCAAATCAAAAAACAAGACAAAACGAAACAAATCAAATCCAATCCATTTCATTTCATGTTACTTTACTTTGCTCTTGCCTCGGGGAGACCTACACGGCCGAGCCTTGGACTGTGTCACACAGAAATGGACTCTATGCGTACTGATACACACAAATATAGGCCTTATTCGCTGTATAAACACTGAGACACACAAATATAGGCCTTATTCGCTGTATAAACAACAGCTAACTACCAACTGGTATTCCGGTCTTTTTGGCAACGCTTTTTTTTTGACAGAAAATATCTCAAAGTATCACGAGTAATCATTGTTTTACAGTCCGTACAATACAAATATGTTGAAACAAACTGTAGGCAAAGGTAGACTAAACACGTGTCAATGAACAAGTCTCAATACTAGCTTATCATACCAAATAACAATTTCTGCAATCGATATTCACACAAATAATCACATATTAAACATGTTGCATGAAGGAAAGGTCCTGCCTTATAATAGGTTGGATCGTTCATGAGGAAGATGCTCATATTCATTACATTTTAAGAATGTTTGTTTGGAAGTAAATATTGTTGAAAATATTATTGGTGTTGCATTTATGTTTGATTTTATTATTATTAAATGCCTGTTGTACATGTCTTTATCAATTATTACAACCGCAATTTTGTTTATAAGTTAATTTTTTTCATGTATTGTATTTTGGGAAATTTTTTTTAAATAACTATTGAACTCTGCATCAATATGTTGATACTCATTGATTTCATAACATTCAGATACTGATATGTAATGCTTATCACATTATTTTTGGGTAAATACAAGGTGCCTTGGTGTCTCACCCACATATTTGGTATAACTAAAGGGATCATGATACAGTAGTGGACTATGAACTCTGTATCCAATAAAATAGTATATATATCACTGGAATTATCAGTGTTATCTTGTTATGTTATCCAGAAATCATTTATGCAATCTAACACATTCATATATATCTTTAAAAATATGATATTGATGATAGGAAATATTACACAATTATGCATGAAATCAAAATATATATATATATATATATATAGATATTAAAAATGTAATATGATATTGATTATAGGATTTATAGCACATGGGTATGCATACACAAGTAAAGACAGATAGATACACACACACACACACACACACACACACACACACACACACACACACACACACACACACACACACACACACACACACACATACATACATACATACATATGTGTGCGTGCATGTACATAAGTATAGTACATGTTATTATTTTATATTTTTTATTTTATATATATATATATATATATATATATATATATATATATATATATATATATATATACATATATATAATTTTATATTTCATATACATATATATATATTGTGTATCTATGCACACATACACATCTTTATGAAAAAATACATTAATTAATTATTGTATATACATGTTTAATTTATTTCCTTTTTTCTTTCTTTTCTTGTCTTTTCTTTTTTCCCATATTTATTTTGTTTTCTATACATATACATTTATACGTACATACATATACATAAACATATGTATACTTATACATAGATACATACATACATGGATGTATATGTGGGTTTGGGTGTGGGTTCATGTGGGTGTCTGTGTGTGGGTGTGTATGGGTGTGTGAAATTGTCATACATTTCTATCTTATTGTTTCATGTATATCACTTATATTAATAATTATATATATAACATTACATTTTAGCAATATTATACATTATCATCATGTTAGTTGGGTCACATATTTGCAATTATTATTATTTCTTTATTTTCTCAACAACATTAATCACAATCATTATATTTATTTGTCAGAACTCTTACAAATTTTATTCATATTATAGTTTATCATATAGATTAAGATATTTTATTATTTATGTTATCAATATTCACATTCTAAATTTGTATTTATATATATATATATATGGATTTTTGATATGTCATCTTTTAATGCACCTGTATCTAAAGGGAATATGTATATATCTTTTTGCATTGTTTTAATCTTTTATTTTATTTATTTGTATATATCTATATATTTATTTTATTATTTTTACAATATTTTCCATTTTTATTTTTTTTTATTACAATTATAATGTTTTTTGCTTCTCATTTGTATTATTTATATTATTAGTACTTATTTATTTTCTTATTATTGTATTTGTATCTATATTATTTTCTCTATTAGTATTGCACATTCTTTTATCTATGTGATGTTTATATTATCATTATTTCTATTAACCATATAATGTTACTGTTTCTTTATCATTTGGTATGACGGATTTTTATTTCCTTTTCTTTTCTTTTCTTTTCTTTGCTTTTATATATATCCTTTTTTATTTTTTTATTTTGCATATGTATATTTTACATTCTTATGTTCCAGTTACAATAATTTGATAGGTATAAAACAAATATTTATATTACTTGTATTCTATATTATTTCTGCACATTTCTTTATTTTATTTAATTGTACAATTTTTTTATTCATATTATTATTATTTATACTCAATAAATACACTTATATATAAGTTATATCATTATTATAAATT